GAGTTCTGCTCGGTCCAGCCACAGAGTGTGCAAGCAATGCATCAGGCAAGATACATCGCAAGACTGGAAAATCAAGACCTTCTTGGAATGTGAGAGCCGCGCATGCTTCCAAATTTTACAAACTATGGAAGCGCGCGCATGCAATGCCGATCGTTCTGCTCAGCTCAGGGCCGCCGCCGCCGTCGGCGCTCAGTAGCCCGCCCAAGTAGATCATACTGCCCCTCTGCGGAATTGTCGGCCCGTCTGGTCGGGCAATGTGCGTCTCGCATCCCGCGGACAGGACCTCGAGCATACCCCAATCGAACCCCAATGCACAGTTCCTCCCGGCCTCGCGCACGCACTCCATCAGCTGGTAGACGAACTCTCCTTCTGCTCCGACTACAAGAGCGTCGTCGGCGCACATGAGCTCGACAACCGGAATTGAGTTGGATTGCAACATCCCGCGACCAGCAAAGCTCCGCCTCGCGTCGCGCATGAGGGCCGCCAACACGGTCGAGAATTAACGAATGATAATGGGCACCCCTGCGACATGCCGAACGCCTGCGGACAAGATTCGAAAGTTGAGCCAGCATCCCGGACGCGGAAGCTCCTGTTGGTGTAGATTCCCTTCGCAGCGGCGGCGAAGTGCTCAGGGATGCCGGAGCGGAACAATGCCTGCAGGAGGCTATCTGGCGACACGCTGTCGAACGCTAAAGCCCAGTCGAATGCGAGAAGAAGCAACCTCCCAGACGCCGTGTCCACGGCGTCCTCGATCAGCCGCCGCGCGACGAAAAGTGCGTCGGCCGTTCCGCTGCCAGATCGGAATCCAAACTGCGTTCCCGACATCCGGTCCTCGGCGCCCGCGCTCTTCAAGCGTGCAAGCAATATCGCGGCGTAGAGCTTGCACCCGATGGGTAAAAATGATACTGGCCTGTAGTTCTCGCACTCGGCGACGTCGCCCTTCTTGAGATAGCCGCGACAATCGCCTCGCGCCAGGCGCCGGGCATAGACGCTTCCGTCCAACACGGATTGCATCGCAGAACGGCCCACTCGCACGCTGGTGTGTCTGAGCTGCAGATGGCCCCCCAAAACTCAAGTGGGGCGCCATCGTTGCCGGCCGCGCGATTCCGTCTCAGCACGCGCGCTGCCGCGCACACTTCCGCCCCGGAAATCGGGCATGCCTGCGCTGGTAGCTGGGGCCCCAACGGTTCGGGATCGCCCGCGGCAGCGACAGGCCGCGCGGCCCACTGCATTGCAGCGATGTACTCGACCAGAGTCTGGGCCCGCTCGTCGCTATCAACTTCTCGGCCGCGCAGGCCCCGCAATCGCCCTTGGGCGGCGCCGCGGGGCTTCCGGAGCTTGCGCACCTAGTCGCAGTCGCCGTTCTGTCCGTAGAACCACTGCTCCGTGTCCTTCTTGATGGATGCTCTGATTTTTCTGTGAAAACATTTCTCCATCGCTGAATCCCCTTGTCGCCTCGCCCCGCGCCGCCTGGCGATGAGCTCCGTCGCGGCGCCGCCCACCCACGGCCGCTTTCTTCGCAACGCCTCTCGCGGGAGGCATTCTGCGGCAGCAGCGAAAGCATTGACCGCGGCATCATGCAAGCCGTCCAGGGGCCAGCGCCGGCACAATGCAATGCGGGCACATGGTTGACGAAAGTATCAGCAAACAAATGTTGGCCTGCAGCGCTGGCCAATGCTGACAGGTCCGGTAACGAATCCTTCTCGCGCTTCGACCTCGGAATCTCTATGCGCACACGGCATTGCAACAAACAGTTATGCGAAGCAAGTACATAATCCTGGCTGCGCCACACGTCTGCCGCCAGATTCATGCAGTCCGCGTCGCATAGAGGAAAGTCGATGACCGAAATGTTGCGGCGCAGCCGGATCTTCTGGATGGGATCCCACACAGTAGCACGCGATCTGGTTATCCGCGGAACGGTCGAAGAACGCGCTGGCGACGGCCAGCCCCTCTCCCTCTCTCTCTCTCTCTCTCTCTTTCTCTCCCTCTCTCTCTCTCTCTCTCTCTCTCCCTCTTTCTCTCTCTCTCTCTCTCTCTCTCTCTCTCTCTCTCTCTCTCTTACTCTCTCTCTCTCTCTCTCGCGCATAACTCCATGGGCAGGCTTCGGTTCGACAGAAGGTTGTGTTGAGCCTGCGGGCCTCCGAAGATGTGGTCTCCCAGAATCCAGGGCTTCCATATAGAACGACCAAAAACCCACGCTCGGTCGCATTGTAAACGGACTCGTGCTTGTGAGTCTCTTGGATGGCGAGCACGTCGATGCCCAGCTTCTCCACGTAGATTTGCAGTTCCTCCTCCTTCGCTTCCGTCACGCGACGCTCCACGAACCGATAACGATATCCACTGCACAAGGTTGCAAGCGCCCTCCTCGGAAATCTGCCCCTCCTCGTCCAGTGCTGGCGTTGCCTTGCCGTGCTCTGGTAACGCCTTGAATGCAGTCAGGAATTCTTAATCGATATATAGGAGCAGTATGGCCGACCGCTGGTGAAACAATTGTGTCTGGTATTTCCTCTTCTGGATGGCGCCCTGTGGCCCCCTTCGGCAAGCCCTTGACGCCGCCCTTCGATCCCTCCATGCCGGCCGCTGCCTTGGCGACCAACTGGTTCGACCTGTCCAGGAGATCCACGACCTCGGGGCTTTTGTGAAGCTCCTCCCACCCAGCTCACACCCCGTGCCACTGGTGAGTCACACGACCAGGGAACACATGGGTAGTCAGTGCGAGCTCGCCGCCCACTGTCACCGTGTAAGGAGCAGAATCGTTGACGGACACTGTGAAGGGAATGTTCCATGCCTTTTTGAATATGTGTTTGAATCCAAAACAGAAGTTCCTTGCCGCCCTCTCGGTGATAAGGCGGTCTTGGTTGGCCCACACGTTTTTCTCTCCCGATTGCAATCCCGTCCACCTCAAGACGTCCACGGCGGCGTTCCTCTCCACAGAGTTCCGGAACTCCGCGAACAGCACTCCAACGAAATCCCCCTTCGTGTAGGTCTTGGTAGGGATGGGGGCCTTCATGGACGTCAGCTCTTCCTGCAACCACTCCTCGGCCTTCAAAACGGTGTCGAGGCCGGCGATGTTGCCGACGACCATGGTCACTGAGCGTTTCTCTGCGCTCGGATCGCCCGCGGATTGCGTGCAGACTGGAGTCTGCTGCGTGCTCTCTTGCGTCATGGCCTCCCTGACGTAGTCCTTGATATTGATGTCAAGCTCCTGGGGGGCGTAGGTCGGCTTATCCTTCAGCAGTTCGTGCACGTTCTCCAGCTTCTCCACCCGCGCTTCGATATCGAGAATGGTAGTCTCCACGTGGTCCATGCGCCCGGCCAGCGTCTCTCCGATGCTCGTGACCTTGGCATCGAGCTTGCCGAGTTCTGCGCGCTGGCTCTTGACCACTGACGTCACAGGGGGCAGCTGCTCCTGCAGGAGGCTAGCGATGCCAGCCATGGTCACGTCGTTCTGCTGGTCGAGATTGGGCTTGCGGGCCGGCGTCTCGATCAGCTCGTCTTCGGAATCGTCCTCGGGCATCGGGACGTAGCCCTCCTGCTGCTCGCGGTTTCCTGGGCGTTCCTCGCCAAGAAGAGGAGCAAGGGCGGAATGAGGACCATGTTCAATCCGAGCTTTCTTGTCCTCCCCCATCCGTCCCCATGGGTCCTTCACGAGACTTCCGACAGGAGTGCCGGCCATGCGGGTATTCCCAGTCTTCGAAGGTGGTGTTGGAGACATCATGGCCTCTAACTCCTGCTCAAGATTCCGAGGCGATCCGGCCATCGGCACCGACATGGTGCGCAGTGGTATCAGAAGGTAGGGAAAAGGGAACGGAATTGAGAATGTGAGTGTAATAAGTAGGCAGGGCTCGTGACGCTCTTGAGCCAAACCCAAGTCACCCAAGTCAGCGGAGGGCAGAAAGAGGGCATCGGCCCCCCGTAGCTCCCAAACCCGGGTCAGCTAGAGGGGATCGGATGACCCCCGTTAGCGCTGACCCCCGTTACGTGAGCCCCAGAAGGGTCGGGGATCGGGACTTCCCAGGACCCCGCGTTGAAGAAATCGGATCTCTCCAGAAATCCAGGAGATCCAGCGAGGCAACTCGAGACCCAGTTTCTGTCGGATTCACGTCGGATCATTGTCGCACAAACGTGGTTCCATTCCCGATGGGGCGGACATGTGGACTGGATTCTACAGCTGCTGCGTGGCGCGCGACAGCTGGATTTCTCCACTGGCCTAAAGGTGGCGGTGGTGAGCTTCTTGCCCCCAGGAACGCGTTTTTTTTACGATTCGCGATAACGGCCGTTACCAAGGATGTTCGCACCCTCCCCCCTCCGCCTGGACAGGTCACGGTTCGCGCCACCGCCGATTGGGAATAGCGAAGGGTCGTTAATTCCCAGACGGCGCCAGCGCGAATCGCCACGTTATACCGGCCGTTATCGCAAGAGGACGAAAAACGGGCCCCAATCAGGATGAGCAGGGACCAGCTCCGGGAGATAAACTAGAATCGACAATACATCGCCGATAGATCGGCAATAGGTCCCCGACATCGAATCTGCACGCTCCTGGGCGGGGTGGGCTGTCGGGTCCCCATCGGGCATGCATTGGCGATAAAGGTTGGATGCATCCCCACTGATCCTATCCCCGATCCTTGTCTTCTGGCCTTCGGGCAAGAACTCGGCGTTCGCAACGATCCGGGCTCCCCTGGAACGCTCTCAGCGAGGCGCAGCTGCCGGAACGCATCCCGAGGCTGTAAAGCCGCCGAAAATCGACGAAAACGCGTCCAAACCTTGAAAACGCCGCCCCCCCGCCCGAGCCTATCCTGAGGAACAAAAAAACAGCCAGGTCGGCGCTGGGCTCAAAAGGGCGTTGCGTGAGTGCCGGAGGAGGAGGAGGAGGAGGAGGAGGAGGAAGAGGAGGAGGAGGAAGGGGCGGAGACGGGGGAAGAGGACAAGAAGGGGGAGGAAAAAGGAGGACGACGAGGAGAGGGCCGCCTAGAGAGAGCACTGGCCGCACCGGCCCCCACCTTGCGCGTAATCTTGCCAGTGCTGCCCTCTCTGGTAGCGGCGTACAGCGCGGCTGCACCTCCCCTCTTCCTCCGAACTTGGGCGACTTTCGGCGTATCTTGCTCGCTCGGATCCGGCGAAATTGTCACCGACTTGTTTTGCATGCGTCGGCGAGACATGACGCCAATGCCGCTTGATTTGGCGACGGACCGCGTCGACTTCGTATAGAAAGGAATTCCGTCGGTAACCCACGCGCCTTAATCCACGTTTGCGTTCCCTCGACTCTGGGGCCGCCATGCCCATGAGACCCGGCTTGGCAAAGCCTTAACCTGTGGTATGTCATGCAGTGGGCCTGGGCCACGGCCGACCCAGGCGAGTTGTCTCCCCTTCTCCTGGCGTCAAAGCACGGCTCGGGGTGCAGAAGGCAGTCCCCAGGAGCGGGGCCAGGAACGCCAGGGGAAGAAACGAACCGTCGGAAGTCTGGGCTACCATCTTGTTTTTCCGTCCTCTCCTGCTCCTCCTCCTCCTCCTCCTCCTGCTCCTCCTGCTCCTTCTCCTCCTCCTTCCCCTCCTCCTCGCCCTCCTCCTTCAATACCTACCTTCAATGCATCAACAATCAAGCAGACCACACGTCCCCACGGCGCCTCAAGAAGGTCACGTTTACGAGTGCGCGAAGAAGCCAAAACATATTTCCCACGACACTGGCACCAGGAAGCTGCACGCAGGCAATCCGCCAAACCAGCCGCGCACAACACCACACATGTTGAGGACACGAAGGAAACTCGCCACCACCAGAACCCAAACGACCAAAAGCGAAACTCCTCCCCAGGAATTCCAGGAACTTGCTCACGACCGCGCCGAAGTATACGGGGGAAAGCGAATCCCGCGGACGCCCGCAAACAACGCCTGCAATACTGTATTGGGGCGACTCGTGGAGGCCGAAGCGCTGGTCCCGCGAACACGAACAATGCGAACACAGTCACACAAGACAAAAACACCAGAGAATTGCCGATGGGACTGCTGCTTCGCACTGCAGAAAAGTGCGACTGTGACTGCAACGTAAGCGCGCAGTAACCGATAGTGCCAAATACCTGGAGGTAGTTTGATTGAAGACGCACCTAATACAAGACGAATACACAAATCATGCACGAATGTCAAGTCCGCAACGCCGCCACCACGCCCATTTTGGAAACCAATATCCAAAATGTTGCACAGCTCAGTGTACGGATGGCCAGCATACCCTGTTCCCACCAGTGCAGATGAAAGAACGACCTCAACGTCAGCATGAAGAGCGCACCCAAGAACTTGAAATTAAGTACTGCATCCGCGAACAAAGAGAACAATGTGTGACCAGTAACACATCCACCCAACTATGAGGAACTGGATGCGCGAGATACTCCTGCAGCCAATTTACCCGGCGTTCACTGGCGAAGACCACCCCGAAGAAGGCGAGCATCGACCGGCGATCAAGAGCGCACACTTTATGGTTCAGCCCTGAGACATCTCGCCCATGCCGCTAGCTCACTTGAGCCTGACACGCTTGGGCCGAGATGGGACTTGCGCCTCCTCCTCCTCGTCCTCCTCCTCCTCTTCCTCCTCCTCATCCTCTTCCTTTTCCTCATCCTCCTCCTCCTCCTCCTCCTCCTCCCCCTCCTCCTCCTCCTCCTCCTCCTCCCCCCCCTCCTCCCCCTCCTCCTCCTCCTCCTCCTCCTCCTCCTCCTCCTCGTCCTCATCCTCCTCCTCCTCCTCCACCTCCTCCCTCTTCCTCCTCCTCCTCTTCCTCCTCCTCCTCTCTTCCCCCTCCTCTTGTCCTCCTCCTCCTCCTCCTCCTCCTCCTCCTCCTCCTCCTCCGCTGTCTCCTCCTCCTCCTCCTCCTCCTCCTCTGTCCCCTTTTCCTTCTCCTATTTCCCCTCCTTCTCTCTCTGCCTTGCCGCGGTCTGCTTCTTCGATCGTCCACCAGGCGGAGCGGAAAAGGGATAAGGCGACGAGGGGAAACGAGGAGCAGGACAAAGAGGAAAGAGAAACAATGTGGGAAGGGGAAAGGGGCAATGCCAGGAGGGGACAACAGCAGCATGGCAGAAAGGTCGGATGAAGGCAAGGGAACGGGACGGGCGGCAGGAGAGGGAGGAAGGGAGGAAGAGATAGAGGGTTCATATATCGGACGTGAGGGGGTGAGATCGAAGTGGAACGGAGAGCCCCCCTACCGGGAAATCGATTTCAGTTTCGTGCTCGTGCGTGCCGTGCGTGCGGGCGAGGCGAAGCTGCTTGGGAGGGCGAGAGGAAAGTCTCCTGTGGCTGAGGCGCGGCCGAACCAAATGATTCCCTTCCGGCAACTGGTGCCGCGCGGTGTCCAGCCGGTGTCCCGCTGTGGCTGAGGCGCGGCCAGACCAAATGATTCCCTTCCGGCGTCCGGTGCCGCGCGGTGTCCCGACGGTGTCCCGCCGGTGCCCCGCCGGTGTCTCGATGATGACGGTGATGATGATGTCGATGATGATGATGATGATGATGATGATGATGATGATGATGATGATGAGTGATGGTGGTGATGATGATGGTGTCCCGCTGATGGCAAAATGATGATAAAGACGATGTTGATGATGATGATGATGATGATTCTCCCGCTCGCGCGCTAGCGAGCTGTCTCCGAGCGCGGCCGCGGCTCGCGCGCGCGGGGCGGCCCAAAATGGGCAGGCCCGTCCCGCGCGCTCGTGCCGGGGCGCCGCGCGTCAGGCGGGGGAGACCGCCTGCTCGCCGACGACGGCGAGGCAGCGCCCATCAGCCTTAGATTGGGAGAGGAGGGAGGGGGGCAGAGAAGCTGCGGAGACAGCAGGAGCTTGCTCACAGAGAATAGAAGAGGCATTCTCCCGCTCGCGCGCTAGCGAGCTGTCTCCGAGCGCGGCCGCGGCTCGCGCGCGCGGGGCGGCCCAAAATGGGCAGGCCCGCCCCGCGCGCTCGTGCCGGGGCGCCGCGCGTCAGGCGGGGGAGACCGCCTGCTCGCCGACGACGGCGAGGCAGCCATACCCGTGCTCAAGGACCTTGCGAAGTGACAAGGTTTCGGCGGGCGGCCGCAAGTAGGGCAGGCCAAGCGGCGGGGCCGACTTGGAGAAATGAAGCGACAAGGCGGTCGCTGGCGGTGGCGAAGAACAGGATCCGCGCCCGTGCGGGCACGGGCAGCGCAGCAAGAACTGTGGAAGCGGCGGCGGCTTGCAGGTAGCGCTCAGCACTGGAAGCCTGACGCCAACGCCCCCGCCAGAAGACGCGAGGGACGTCTTCCGTAGCGATATAGAAGTCTGTTGCGCCAGAGCCCCGCAGACATGCGGGCGTCAGGTTGAGCCCCTGACCCGCTTTGGCAAGAGGGACGCCCAGGGCCGAAAGCAAATGATTCCACCGAGTACGGAAGCCGCTCGCACCGAAAGGGGCGAGAGGATCGGTGGAAGCCAACCGCCCAAACACTTGATTCAGAATCTTCACCGTGCCCCGATCGGAGCAGCGAGCATGCTGCGTCGGGTACGTTCTCCTGGTCTTTGGAACAAGAATCGAGAGAAAAGCATCCCCTTCAACTTCGAGGCGGTCGCAAGGAAGCGACAAGTCACAGCGGCGTGACGCCAGCAGCTCGCCAGGCCTGAGGAACATCGTGAAGCCCATGAGCAGCAAGGCCGCCATCACAGGCCAGTCCCAGGCGAAACAGAGACCGACCATAGCGCGCAGCAGAGCGCGAGGTAAGGGCGGGCGGAGCTTTGGCGGCTCCGCGAGCTTCCATTGTTTCGCTACGTCCCAAGCTTCTGTTAGAAAGGCCTTCCAATGCGGATGAGCGCTCTGGATTCCCAAGATGGCATGAACCAGAATATAATGAGGGAAACCTGCATCATGAAGCCACACGCCGAAGGTCGCGAGGAAGCGGGCGAGAAGTATCCCGCTACGGTAAAGAGTGGCGGGCGGCACGCCAGTGTGTTCTGCTACCACAGTTCGAACGCATCAATCGATCTCGAGCGACGATCGAGATACGCGGAGGTGAGGTGAGAATCGCGCACGAAGGGAGTGCGCGGAGGGCGAGCGGGCGCGGAAGGCGCAGCCCGACTAAGCCCTTGGCCTGCGGTCGGCGCCGCGGCTCCCAGAGAGATGCAGAGGCCGCAGACGCACCACAGGATGAGCGCAGGGCGGCCAGGGCTGGGAGAGCTGATCAGCGTGGCGGCCCTCCTGCTCCTGGACGCGTAGAAGGGCGGAACGAGGGTGTCCCGCCCGTCGGTCTCGAACCCCGACGCCTCCGCCAGCATCGCCCGCGCCGAGGTGAAGGATCCGCCCATGTTACGGTGAGCACGGCGAGCCCCTGCTTCGATCTCGGCGGGCAGAGCGCCCCCTCCCTCGAGGGTCGCCCAGTCAAAGGGCGGGCGCGGCTCGGCGCGCGCAGCTGCGGCCGATTCGGCGAGCTCGGAACGAGCTGCCGAGGACGTGAGGCCCGAATGATGTGGAACGGGCACCACCTCCGCGAACGCGTCGAGGATCTCGGACGGAGGGGAATGAGATCCCCACAGCGCTGCTGGGATGGCGCCGTGACCGTCCTGCACGTGGTACAGAAGGTCGAAAAGGCAGGCCAACTTGCCCGCGCGCCTCCTGTGCTCGATCTTTGAGCCGAGCCCGATGCCACGGATGGCGCCCGCCCCCATGGCTTGGAGGTCAGCGCCCGCGGGGATAGCCTCGGGCTCGACGGCGGCCACGTAAGGATGCAACCACGAGGCTTCGTCGATCGGCTCGGCGCCGCCTGTCTGAAACAGGCGCTTATAGGCGTGCAAGGCCTGCAGGAGGCAGTGCAGGTCATCTCTGCCCTCGGGCTCGGCGGCCCCTGCGGGTGCGAAAGACCTCAGCCACGACGCCGCGCTCTGGAAGGCAGCTTGCCAGGCGGGTCCCCACCTCACCACTGTGACCTTCTCACCGCCGAGGTTGAGACGCCACGCTAGGGCGGTGGCGGCCCCTGGAGGCAAGGGCTGCTCAACGGCCGCGGAGGCCGTGCGCCGCGCTGCGAAGGCTGCAGCCGCGGCGCTCCCAGCGTCGCCGCTGTGGGAGCCGCTGGGATGCAGCTCG